AAACGCTCAGGCTGTTTTTAATGTGCTGTCCAAAATTGTTTGAGATATAGATTTTCCTACATTCGATTCCTGAATGCACATTTATGCATAAGTGCCTGCTCTACATCTCCCATAAGCAACTCCTATCCATCTGATTGGGCCACAGATTTCACCTTATTGTTGCTTAAACGATTAGGACTTAAGTGTCAGTGCATGTCGGTGGAAGTGATTTTGATGTATGGCTGAAGCTTAAGTTGATTTACTCCTTGACTGCATCAGCTGCCAATCTCTGCTTTATTTCCTTACCATGATGGACTCCCAGGGTCAGGGGTTAGGTGGGAATGTTGCTGACCTTGGCCCATTCTTGACCTTGGGAATAGGTTGGTATTGTTGGTGTTAGAAGGTGTTCTGGTTTGTAGGTTCAATGTGGTCCTTCTTTGCCACATGACAAATGACTGGCTGTGTCATTGGGGAGAAAATGGGAAAAAAACACACTGTGTCCACTTTGACCTCTTTAAACAGTGCTCCAGGGAAAGTTAGGTCCAGAATCTGCTCTTTAGGTTACAGCTCTGCCCTCAGCGACCAGAGATCATGTTCCTAAATAACCTCAAGATGTCCTCAGGGGTTTATGGACCCACTGGGCTAGACGTCCACCTTGGATCAGGGTCAACTTTGATGGGGCATAAGCAAGTATTGTGTAGAGGTGGAAGGAAGTCTGAAAGCTGCACATGTGATGCATGCCTGCGTGTGAACATGCAAGCGTGTTTATGCCCATGCTAAAATGTAAGAGGTCAGCTCTCCATGTGATCCAGCCAGCTAATCTAAATCTAATCTTGGCCAGCTGCACGTCCTCGGCCCCCTTCAGCCCCATCTTTTTCTTACTTCCCCAGCTGAGGGAGAAAATTATTGAAGCTACAAATTACAGAGACCCAGAGGTTCTTCCAATGTTGGGTGATAGCAAGCAGATGGCAGCAGCAAGAAGTGGAAACCAAGCCCCCCGACTCCCCCGTATATAAAGCACCATTTGCATTTCATGAGCCTTAATTGCTTCTGTTGCCCTCCTCCCCACCGGCTCTGCGATTTTGTGCCTGTCACTGTGCACCCTTGCACCCCTAGAAGGAGCTGTGATAGATTAAGGTGGACCTTCTGCTTGCATCCCCCTCATTGTGTTTCAGAAATTAGAAAATATTATCTCCCAGCGGGCTCGAAGAAGAACGGGGAAAAAAGGGGGGAGCAGGAGGTGATAGTGACATTGGACGGGATGGGATAGGACAAGACAGGAGGAGTTTTTAAGACATTAATGGGAAAAGTGATTGTTTTAAAAGCTTGTGTTTGACCCCATGATGGAAAGCAATGATGCATGGAACCCCCAGACACCTATTAAGTATGAAGGTAATAATGCGTATCAGTCAATACTCAATGGACACCATGCACTGATTTAGTTCTTCCTTCTTTTTAGGACATTTTTATTTAGCTGTTTTTCTACTTGTACATCAGAACCATCATGAGCAAAATGTATTGGGGGAATTAAAGTCTGAAGGAAGGGCTATATACAATGTTCATTGAAGTACCAAAAACCAGGTGGTGGTTCACACAAATTGGTTGTTGATCTGTCATCATCACTGTAGTTAATGTGACAGGAACAGGACATTTCTTTCCAGACTGGTGTTTTGGTTCTAGGTGACATGACGAATATGTCTGGGTGTCTGTCTGCTTTGTTCCAACACTCATTTATGGTCATTGTGTTTGTGTGCATGTGGATGCATGGTAAGTGTGTGAGCATGATCAGTGTGAAGTCATTATATTCTATAAGGTCAGTTACTACAAAAACATGCTGCCATGCATTGTACAAATTAAAGAAGAATCCTGCGAAAATAAATGAGTGGAGAATCACATTGAAGGCAGGTATAATAGGTCACTGGATAGTTTGATGTATGAAAATAATATAAAACCAACAGGAGCGTTTTTGCTAGCTTTTAACAAAGTATTTAGTGAATCGACGGTGGTCACTCCTTTATCTGGTTTGGAAACTATTATATCTCAAGTTGAGGACTTCCAGAAACACTGAGTTTGTAACATATAGGGCTTTCACGCTGGCAAAAAACTCCTGAGAAACTCCTTATATTTGCCAGAGGAGCTTTAAAAGTGAACGCAAATAGCATCATTTTTTGTTCAGACTTCATCCGGAGTATCTCCTGCTAGACCCCTACTATTTTTTTCCGCAGCTAGTCCAAGTGAGCTGATGTGAGAACACAGCAGGATATTATCCATATGACCTCGAGCCAATGAGAGAGGGGAGTAACGTTCATATACTGCGACTGCTGCACAGTGCATAGAGTGTATGCATGCTACCACTGCGATCTTTGTGCACATAATTAAACGAATGCATTACGTTTTCTGATCGTCAGTATGTTGTTTTCCGCACTTTTGCTGATAGTGTGATTATGTTGGACTACACATAGAATTGATATGAAGGCAAATCTCTTCTTAATCTGGGACCAGAGTATACCTAAGAGTCCATTCTCCTTGCGTACCTACATGCTCTGGAATGACAATAAACCTCTTTGAAACCTTGAAACTATGTTAAATTGCACAAGCATTTCATAATTTAAAAAAACTCAACCTCAACTCATAACCATCTGGATTCAGTTGCGTCTTGATTTCTCATCATCTTGGCCCATATGTCCTGAAACAAACAAAAACTATCAGAGCGCTCCATGTAGCATATCCAGGTTTTCTAAAATCTTGGTAAAAGCTTAACAGTTACCAGAGATGTGTGTTTTCATGCAAACACATAAACAGGATTCTTTTAAACCCAACCTATACCCAGGGTACGTGTTGGCATGTAAACACCATTTATTTGTCCTCTGGAGCTGCTTATGTGCCAGAAAGTGAGCTTCCATCTCAAACATCTGGATGTGTTTCGGTGAAAGTGAAAAACAGGGTGTTAACTTTGAAGTCATAGGTTTATACATAAAACACCTATAAGACTTTGGACATGTTTTAATCCACCAGATATTCCAGTTTGTGCCCCTTTTGGCATATTCTATGTCCTGACAAAGTGACCTCATCATGTTTTCTCTGGATTTTATCGAATACTTCATCAAATGTCAGAGCTCTTTGTCTTCTGCCTTCTCCTCTAATGATGTGTTGTGACATTAAAACCTTCATAATGGATCTGGAGGAGGAGCATTCATTAAATTGACTGAAAGGTAATATAGAGTAGACAAGTGAGAGAAATCACTTCTCACTATCACATGCCTGCATACTAATGAAAGAAGATACCCGCCCTCACAAATAAGCCGAGTTCCAGAGAAGACTTAATGATCATATACAGAATTAATGAGGTTTAACAGATTTTAATAAGAGAGAGCAATCTGCTAAACCCAAGAGAGACATTGACTGCTTCCATCCACTCCCATTTGGATATAATGGTTAGAACTGTAGTGCTCGTTTTGTACCACATAGAGGCAGTGTTTGGCAATCTGATGTGATTAAGGAATGAAGTTGCTTGTAGCCAATGCCTCCACCAGATGGCGATATTACACAGGAGGTAATAAACTCCATGTCCAACCCTAAACTATAAAGATTTTATGAATGGAAACATACTTTAGTACCAATAAAATAAAGGAAACTGTGACGCAAGGAAAAAGTTAAAACTCACAGACTTCCTTAGACACTCAAAGCATACGTTAACACACAAACATGTAGACTAGAATGTCAGTGTCCCCATTTCACCCAGTCTAAGTATGTCAGAGGGGGAGGCTGTGGGAGGCTGTGACCTCTAAGGCCTGCAACAAGAATCCTGCTTCTGAGAGTACTCTTTCATAGCTGGAGATTTAGATTCCTGTCATCAGCTGCAGTCCAGAAGTGCTGGTTGAGGACTTACTGTTGTCTCAAAAAGGAATAGATACCATCACAAACCATCTATCAGAATCTGTTAGCGCAGGTTTAGTCTTCTATCATTGAAACAGGAAGGCTAGCCTCTCCAAAAATGGACTAGATATGTTCATTATGTGTGAAACTTCAGGTTGTGGGTTATAGGGGTGTGGTGGGTGCTTGACTTAAGAAATAACCTATATAATCTTCCACCTTTAATCGTCTTTTAATTTGGTTGATGGTTAAGGAACTCATTTTCAGCCCGGTCGGAAATTGCTGTTAACTCGCACTTGTTGCCAAAAGGTGCGCAAACAGCTAAAAGATAGCTAAACCAAATTTCAGATTTCATCCATGCAGTCCATCAAAAGGGACTAAAACACAGTGGTTTATCAGTTGCTGAATCTAATGACAACAGCACCTAATGAACACTACCATGGTGCCTCAGCAACGTTAAACTAGTTAGAAACCTGGGAGTTGTCATGAATTAAGCTAGCATAGGTGGTGAAGAGGATGCTAGAGATATAACATCACAACGCACTGAAGAGAGGAAGAACATGTTAGCTAATTTCATATTTCTTAAAAAATTCTGCAAAAGGGATGAAAACACAGCAGTTTATCAGATAAATTATATAACAGCAGCATCTCAAGCACTTACCATGGTGCCTCTGCAACTTCTTTGAAAGTGACAAGGCAGGGGGCTAGCGTAAATTAAGCTAACATTAGTTGAGAGGAGAATGATAGTGCTAACATCATCGTGTAGTGGGCTAGTTACTGTTAAATGTGTGCAGCCTTTGTAAAGGTTCCAGGTCATTGTAATACAGAGTTTATATCAAGAGGCAGCTACACTTTGTTGAAGTTCTTCAAGACAATTTGCCTTGTGCAGTGATTCAATCGGGGCCCATGTTCTGTGAATGTGTGACATGTACTTTGATAATTTTGAGAATTAAAACTGTAGAGCAATCACAGACTATACCTAACTGTGTTTTAGGGCCTTGATTAATTAATAGAAGAACCTATGTGGGTGTCAAATGGCTGTTGAGCACCCCCCAACTTGCAAATCTTGCTTCATCCCCACAGCATCCCCTACTTGTAACATCTTCCCATGGCTTTGGTGATATTGAAAGACACAACATGCTCCGTAGTGGTGGTAAGAAACATCCTTTAATGATTAAACTCAAAGTTGCTTTGGTATTATCAAGAGAGCATTTTGAAGTTTAGGTGTAAACATGGCATAGTCTTTTATTGTCTTACACAAAATTGTTGTAGGGCAGTTGTCATTAGAGTCAGTCTCTTCTAACTGAACCCAGTAATGAGCATCATGCTAAAAGACACAGCAGACTAGCAGCTAGCGTAAGCACTGAATCAAATACCACATCATACTGTAGCTGTGATGGAACGCTGCAGGGTCTCACCCGAGATGTCACGTAGAGGAAAGACCTGCCACATCCAAGTCTTCTTATTTCTGATGCTATGTGAGAGACTCTGTTGACACTGAAACAGTAGCTGCATGTTTTGAATAACTGGCATTGGGTGCAGACCATGCCTTCGCTCTAGTGCACGGTAACACTAGTCACATACAGCATTTGCAAACACATGCACAAGGCAGATTATTTGATCTACCAGAGTAAGATTGCATACTGTAAAATAGACTTGTTTTGCTAGACTGTACACAGGAATTTACATTTCAGTGGCTGACAACTTTGATAGCATAGCATATGAACTTCAAGCAACTATTGACTGCAACATTTCATCACTAGTGGTTCAGAATTTGCTGTCACTGTCAGTTCTTATCTCATTTTCTGGCTGTTATTATGACACTTGTAGCCAGATGCATGTTTCAGAAAGCACAACCGCCTAGAAAATGACTTGTTATCCTGCATGAGGTCCTTTCTGCTTCCTCATGCATCACTTTCAGCATAAATCCAGTCCCTTGTAACAGTGGAATACACGGTATTAGATAATGTGAGAGTTGTTTTATTGAGTAAGTGAATGTTTTAATGCTAACTTGTCATCACCATCTGTTATGCACAACATTTACACCGTGGTTGATACAGTAAAGGAACAAACATCTAGACATCAGTGGGCAGAGACTGCAGCATGTCAGACTTCAAGTATGTGAAACAGACATTTGTATTGTCACTGCAAAAATCTCTGTCCTCTTCTAACATACAAAATTAATACTAAATATGTTTTTTTTCCTATCATCTTGTATTTTTTCTTTTATGGCTTTAACTCTGTGGTATGGGTTTCTAGTAATAATAACTGACACTTTCTTCTTAGGCTGTAATTGTTAGGATTTCCCCTAAGGTGGGAATTTGGCTTCTTGAGACTAACAGTCGTAAGCATAACACAAACATCAAAATGTGGGGAAATGAAGGCAAATGGAGCAAAAATAAAGCTTATATGAAGTAAATTTGCTGTGATCAAACTTTTCACAAACTGGCAGAATAATACTGACATTCAAAATGACTGTTTACTTAATCAATATACCACCCCAAACTCAAATATCAATATTTTACAGTAGCTGATGGAGAAAAAAAAAATCAGACACTTCAGTGTGAACTAGGCTAGTGTTCCCTAAAGAAGCAGTCAGGCACCTCTGTTGGATACTCGCTGTAATTAATGGCAAGCCGTTTGACTAAAAAGTAATTCTGTTGTAAATGACTGCTATCAGTAAGAGGAATGATAAATACATAGCACCATCTTTTGTTGAAAATAAGAAATAGAAAAACACTGAAAACAAAAAAACACAAATTCACAAATAGAAAAAAGGACCAGATCTACTTTCATGGCTCTGCTACAACATGGATGTTTCCACTCTTTTTGTAAAGCAAGCCTGTCAATAAAATATTCTATGCCTTCTATTTCTATACATGCATTTTGGTTAATTTACTTCAAGAAAGTTTTTTGCTAATTCTTTGGCAATTAAAACAAAAAAAAACAACAACAAAATAGCATCTAATTATTCCATCATTACAAACAAACACAAGGCACTTAATCAGCTGAAACAAAGCTCATACGAGTATCTGTTGACGAGCAACACAAAAACTATGTACATATATGTAAAAAGTGTTATAAATAGGTTTTAAACCATAGATACTATATACATCATTTAACTGAGACAGTAATGTTTGTTTTGTGTTGGTTTGCACTTTGAATTTTTGGTATTATCCCTCATCCATGTGATCTGGGTGTATTGGCCTGGTGGCTCCATTGGCCATTGGTACTCAGGCATCAGAACTTAAACTTCAGAGGGGGTCTGACATTTGCAAGTGGGCAGGGGGTTACTGGGAACACTGGGATGGATTGATGGCCTCATTCTCGCTTCCTCAAGATGACATAGATGAGTCCGCTGATCAGCGCCAAAGGGAAGGCAACCCACGCCAGGATGTAGGAATAGCCGAATGCGGCCGCCACCGGCGCCCACTCGTGACTCATCACCGTGTAGATGATGGCGCCACTCATCACAAACAAACCTGCAGAGGAGGAAAAAGTGAATACTGAATAATGCTCTCCATCTTCCTGATCAATTATAAGATCATGTTTCACTTCAATATCCTGCTCTCTGTCTTGTGTCCTGGGTTGAACCTTTGCTTGGCAGTGGAAGCCAGCAGGTCAGTGTTTCCCAGAAGTACAACTGCCCAGTGAGACTTAATAGACTAAGCTTTTATTGAAAAAGCTCTGAGTGTACTTAAGTCATGAAAGTAACATCCCATGAGCAATCTACGCAAATGTGGGAGGATGCACCACTGGCATTGTAAAATGTGCCTTTAAGTGTAGTTATGTTCAAATAGTCAGCAGAAGTGTCAAGTTCAAGTACAGAGCTTCTTGAAATTGCTGTCAATTGCATAAAGAAATTGTATGCAATGGTACCATGCCATTTCATTAATTGTTCGCAATTTAATTGGTTAGCTAGCAAGCCAATAACACTATTGGCCAACTGTTCTTTAGTACAGAGTAACCATTGCTACGTTCAGCCTTTGAACAAAAAACCTATTACAATGACTGCTAATTAAAAAGGAACATTATTAGTCTGGCACAACACCAGCTCAACCCAAAGGGAATCCCCACTCAAGGTTATTCATGCTTAATGAGCCCAATCCAGTTTTGTATTCCAAGCTCTCCCACCTCCCTTTTCAGACAAGGCATGATCAGTTTGTCAGACCCCCGCACTGCCAGCCTTCCTGACATTTCAACTTGCGCGGCTGGCAGTTGGCTTAGTGTCATTCCTGTTTGGCTGAGTGGGCACCTGGGTACCAGTCAATGCAGAGAACAAAAACCTGGGATGTTGGAAAGGGCTGCCAAGAGAGGAAACAATGGACGGGCAGTGGAGCCACTCTCTGGCAAAAGGGCATGAAGTACAATGGACAAGTGGGGCATTAAACCATTAGTGACTGGCTCAGACTCTCTTGATTCAATTCATAGCAACAGAAGAGCCAGTTTGAGCATCTGTTATATGATTGTCTTCCTGTCGACGCAAGCTTTCATTTATTGACTGACCAAAGAGTTGGGCTCAAAAGATTAGTAATTTGGTTGATAATCAAGTAATGGTTAGCCAAAAAAAACTGCCATTAGATTACCAACTTCTTTTCGATTACTAGTTGAACAAAACATGCAATTTAAAGATGTCACCTTGGAATGTGGGATATGGACAAGTTAACAAAAAGTAGGGTCAATTCATGAATCAGAAAAATGTTCTGTTTAATGTCTATCTGCTATCAGTTATGTTGTCAATGGATTTGTTTTGGATGTGTTGAGGTTGATCCAACTCACTTGCAAGGATCTGGAAGGTTCCAGTGAGGAAGAAGCGTCCGCCCTTCTGCAAAGTAAAGAGCTGGCAGAAGAACAGGAAGAGAGACAGGCAGCTGAAGATGATGGATAGGATCATGAGGGCCTGGACCGCCTGGATCCACTCTGCAAAGGGAAGAAGGAGAGTGTTGTCAATAACAGGAACTACAATCGACATTATGCAAAAGCACACAACTGTCTTCATGAGTTAAGAAGAAGAGGAAACAAATGCCAATAACAAAAAAACAATGCCAAAGAGAACATAATGAGCTTGCTGTGTCTATATTTACTTCTGGGAATTTGTAATGGATCCTCCACAATGGAACCTAGGTATCTTGTTCCTAAAAGCTTGGTAAGCCCCTCAGAGCAGGTACTACGACTAAATGTATCACATTGATTGTTTGTTAGTCCTCCAAGGCCTTGCTGCTCGAAACCATTAACCCATTAGATACCTGTACTGTATTGACAAAGGAGACTAGAGTCTATCCTTGCTATCTATCTGAGTGTGGTTGTATCTGTGCTTCATTCGTTCCACAATGCCAAGAATCCTTGGACTTTCAAGCAGGGTCTATTTCTTGTCTAGGGGTTACCAAGCCGCCTGCCTGTCCTCTCAGGTTACCTGAGAACACACTCATTCCATCTCTGTATCCAGCCAACACTTCTTTAAGCAGTGCCTTCTGTTATGTTGTTATAGTCATGTCCCTGCCATAAAATGCTGGTTCTTCCCAAGGTGTAGACCGCAAAGGACATCCTTGATTTGTCTGTATGTCACCAGAGATTTTACAAGTCTGTCCATGTGCTCCTGTCCTATCATAAAACAGCAAATATTCCAGTAAAGCCTATAAAAATGTGATTTTATTGTGGCTCCATTTGTATGCTTGCCGCTTCTAAACTTTGGCATTCAAATGTCTGAAGTGCTCCTTTCAACTTCCTCAAGCATCTTTGGAATATTGATTCTTGCATTATGCAAATCAAATGTTGTGGTTTAATGGGGGGCACTTAAAGAACAGAAAAAAGGTAGTATTCATAATTTATTAGCCCTCGTAAAACAGAAAGTATATTTGGGAAAATGAAACGGCCTGCTTTGTGTGATCTGATGATTTTGAGTGGCCACATTTAACCTTGGGACACAAATGAAAACGGCGTCATAGCCCTGTAACTTATTCCTTCTTTCTGTGATCAAAGAATTGCCACCATTTTCCTGGAACAACACTGGAATATCTCTTTCAGATTTGAAGGGAACTAGCATCCTGACTGCTGGCACAGTCTGGGGGTCAGGTTACCCATAATAACAGCACTACAGTATGCCCTCGTGATCATTGGCTCCAGGATGAGATATGGAAGGAAACATGACACGCTGCAAATCTCCATGCACAATACCGCACCAGACCAACAATTAGATTCTACTGTAATGATCCTGTCTTCAGATGTTACATAATATGGTGATAATGCGATGAGAAATGGGTGAAATGTTCCATCCCTGTCCTATGAATAGTGCCCCCCCTATAAATATGACAATACATCACTGCTTTCTGATAAACACACATCTTGTCCCCCTTCCTTCCTCCTCTGACCAGTAGTAGGAAACAGCGACAAGCGGGCATTTCCTATGGCATGAGGCGCATAAGGTGCATAAGGCTCAGAATATCCCTGATAAGCATGTATGACTCATAGTCTAAAATGTACATTTTGTAACACTGTGGTTTATACCTTCTATTATTCTATTATTGTATTTTTTCTCCTTTATTTAACTGATGTAAATATGTTTGATTTTTATCTTCTTGTTATTTTTAATAATTAATTTCCTGTTTCCTGTTTTCTTGAGCTGTTGTAATGAAAAAAATTCTCCCATGGGGGATCAATAAAGTTTATCTTATCTTATGATTGTGGTATTTTCATACAGAAATACACAAGGATTCTTCTGTAACTCAAAACAGGAAAATAACAGTAAATAACTTCTATCCTGAGGTTGCACTGAGCTGCTACTTCACTATTTAGACGCTGAATATCTGTGCGGGGGAAGAACATTCTTTTACAGAAGCTAAATTTAGAGCGATTGAATTCTGGGAAGTTTCCTGGTTGTAAGGACGTGACGCTTAACTCAAGTTTGGCCTGTGATAAATTATGACATGAGTATTTCTCACTTTGGCATCATCAAACTCACAGGCAATGTTTTGGTAACCAAGGAAGCTCCTAAAAATAACCCCTGATTACAATGATTATGATTCACTGGAGAAGGAACTCGATTGCTCAGCGGAGATACAGAAAAGCCCCTGTTGGAACACAGGCTTGACGTCCATGTGAGAGCAGACCTCTATCTTCCATCTCCCAAAGCCAAAGCGCAGAGCAACACGCGCCTTCTTAAATAAACACTGTGCGTCAGTGCGCTAATGAAAGCTAGTCAAACAAACTGGCTGCGCCATCAAACTACCTGGCAGAGTATGCAGGCGCTGCTGGCCTGACAAAACACACACTGGCTGAGCACGGCTCATTCTAGACAAATGACATCACCCCGGCTGCGGCCGGCAGCTCCTGCAACTCTGTGACCGCAGCTTAAGGAACAAAACATACTGCAATTCATCACACATTTTGTTTATAAGTTATTTGTCCTTGAGCAATGGAAATGTGGTATGGGTCTTAATTATAAACAGTGAAATATTTATCTATTCTCCCTGTTTTCTGATCTAATTCAAACATGTAGAGGTGGCTGACTCTGTCTAAATAAATCTGTTTAAGGCTGCAGCTGCTGCCTTAAATTGTCCTAATGATCCCTGCAAACTAACACAGGACACTCTGATCTGACACTGGGCGTGACCCAGCAGCAGCATGCTATGTTCTGCATGAGGTAGTCCAAGGTCTCCCTGCTTTCAAACACTCTGTCCCACACACACACACACACACACACACACACACACACACACACACACACACACACACACACACACATATAGATCAAAAAACTTTAAATACTCTCTGCAGCCCCACCCCAGAACTTCCACAACTCCTGTCACTATGGACTCCCCAGCATGAGACCTGAATATGGACATCACACCACGACTATTTATACGGCGGCAGCCTATCAGCTCTTGCCTCAAGACAGCACTCCCACATTCTCTGCCCTAGATGGCACCAGAGTCCCAGAGGAGCCGTGACACACCCACATCATCAACATGTTAAATGCTGGATCTCAGCAAGTCATTTAAAAACAACCCAATGCCCCCATTTATATCATGATTTACAATGGTTTCAATGCAAATATTTTGTATGGAAACTGTCTTTCCCAAAGCAGAGCGGAAAATGAGCCTAAATAACCCTGAGAATGCATCAGAGCCTAACAGCATAGCGATGACTAAGATTTACATGTATAACACAAAAATACACATTAAATATACAGTTACTGTTGTTTTAAAGGTAAAGGGTGTTAATAAAGCAGGTGTCTGACCTCCAGATGATGCGTAGTCACAGTGGTATCCTCCATTGCTAGTAGTGCAGTTGTACCAGAGGTCTGAGGTGCTGAATTCGGTTGACGTCCATACCTGGTGTCAACAAAATTCAAGACTGTCAGTAACACGTGAAAAGTAGCACCAAATTCATCAGAACGTTTTTTCTCAAGTTAAAACTATTAATTCCATGTGAACAGGACTATATTTAGAATAATGAAGACATAAAAAGCATGATATCTCCCACTGCAGGTATAATATGCCTGCAAGCTTCATTACTGAGTTTTTGGTTGATTTACAAGAATATTTCATCCTCGAATTGTGCCTCAGAAAGAGGATAAAGAAAGACAAAACATAAGAATAGTTTTACTCACGCTGACTATCGTTGACACAAACAGGAGAACCAGAGAAGCAACGTGCAGGAGGACGATTCCAAGTAGTAGGAGCAGCATCTTTTCTGACGATCTGAGCAGCAATGAGAAGAGGAGAGAGTCTCTGTCAGTCAGAGTGTGAGTGTGACTGTCTCTGTGTGTGTGTGTGTGTGTGTGTGTGTGTGTGTGTGTGTGTGTGTGTGTGTGTAGATGTCAGAGTGGTGGGACATGGGTGTGTCGCTGCAGCACGTTCAGCATGGACAGCCTTTTACAAAATCTAAATCTGGACTACGTTCATAAAGCTTCCACGTACATCTAACCTTAGGTGAAGTTGTTATGCTATTGTTTTCAGACGCCTTTCATGAGCGTTAAACACCACGTCTTAGACACGATTCCACCTTAAAACGTGAAGTGTGAATACTCCCTGTAAGAATATCCCTTCTCTCATTCGGATCCCTTTAAAATGTTTTTTAATTATCCGGTTTCTATCATCTACAAAATGGAAATAATTGAATTCCCTGACGTTGATGTTTACCGGACATTTAAAAGATTTAAACATTTCTCAGACAGAAGTAACCTGAAATTCCAACCACTTTTGGTGTTTTTTTTTGTCGGACAAAATGACTTTTCTTAAACTACCAAATAAGCGTATTGACAGATGTTTCTGCGATGACACCTCGCTCTTTGGATCTGCGTGCGTAATGGAGCAGCGGGTATATCAGCGCAAACCGCGTTTCCTTCTTTAATCCGCTAGGAAGGCAGCTGGATAGAATGAAGTTTAGAAGGAAAAACCAAAGTCCAATTACTTACGTAGCGCTTGTTATTTCCACAAGACAAAAGGGGTTTCAGGCTTGAAAGAAGCAAAATATCAAGTTTCCCAGAGAGAGTCAAACAGCGGTAGTCCGTCAGTCCCAAAAGTCGCGCTCAGACTAGATTGATACCAGGGGGCTGACGTTCTGTTATAAAGTGTCTCATTATGGAAGAACAACGCCCTGCGTGCGTCGCTACGTCATGGAGTGACCCTCTGGTCCAGCGCCAGGCTTCTCAATATAGATGGTTCATGCGTAATAGCGCACGGGTTGCCTTAGTTACTAACTTTCTGGAGTGTTTGAGGAGACCTGGATCAGCATTGTTTGGCTGTCGTGGTAACTAAAAGCAGATATCTGCTTTCGAGGATGTCTTTCTTCTCTCTGACTATATGTTTCTATCTTTTTATTTTGCTGTTATGATTTATTTCATACAGTTTTACTTTACTCCTTTTTGGTTTGCTTTTTGATTTTTTAAAGCTGCTTTTTTAGATAATATAAGGAATTGAAGGAATTTGTCAGCAAATGTACGTATCATGCATTTTTCATTTTCTGGTAAATATGGAAATCAAAAATGGAAAAATTTGAGCAGAATATTTGATAAAATGACAGAATACAGCTTGTTCATGTTATATACTGCCTTAGCTCTTTGCTAATATTAGCTAATTTTCTGTAATGACCAATCAAACAATCTAAATCAGGCTTTAATTATCTTTATAAACTGATGACCTTTGGGTTTCTTTTACACTACGGTAAGGTATTTTTTGACTTTTTTTCCCCCCAAAATAGCATACTTCCCTTTAAACTCAAGTTGTGGTTGCCATGGCGATTGCAAACACAAACATTATCGTATTGTGGTGCGGCGTGGGTTGGTTCCCCTCTGGTCGTCATGTAGTCAGCCACGTGACTCACAGTATGTGTGAACGTGTGGATGGGTATGCCCCGGTGCACCACCAGTGAAAGAGAGAGAGCATGGAGGGGGGAGAGGAGGGGGGAAGGGGGGGGCTCTCCTCTGTTTGACATGACTCATTTCCAGTGGGAGTGGGGTCTGAGCTCCACTCTGAGCAGGGACCACAGCCCATGTTGTCAATGTTAAAGGATGTACAGAGGGGTTTTTTTTCTCATAAATGTGGGTGTTGCAATGAATGGAATTCCAGGAGAGATATGGAGGCAGTTTCGGGAGCGGTTTGAACTGGAAATACTTTCGAGCATGTGCATGAATTGCCTTTTTTTTTTATGTCTGGAACGTCTACTGCACACAGATTGACCTCCTGTCAGTGATCATTTGAAAGATCATTCCATAAGCAACTCATCTTTCAAATGTAATTTCCCAAACACAGTAAGATCTCCCTGATAACACTGAATATATTCACTTTGAAAACTCTTCTAACCTTTACTCCTTCATTTCTGAAAATCGTCAAAAATTGATTTGACGTCCCGCACGCTGAATGTTATCGGCTACTGGGGAAACACACACTTTCTCCACATTAGCCGGCTGAGGAGTTTTAGGAACCGCCCGACCTCGGATAACCCCTGTCAACATCCACTCTCTATTCTCTTCACCACTTAGCTCACACTTCCTGGATGTTTTTGTGTGTGTTTCTCACACTCACATGAAAAACAGAGGTGTTTCCACTGCCCTCATGTCCACACACACACACACACACACACACACACACACACACACACAGGAGAGGGGGCAGTTACATGTTCAGATCACAGCCAGTAAAGTGCTGATCTTACAGAGGGCTTCAAAGTATCACTTTAAGGCGTGCTTAACCTGACCTGCAGAAGTGCCTCTTCGTCAGATATGACTCTTCTGTTACTTTACTGTTGGGGGTTCGGTGCCTTGCTCAAGGACACCTCGGGAGTACTTAGGAAGTGACCTTGCACCTCTCCAACTACCAGGACAGCAGCCCAAAATATTCACCATCCAAAGAATTTGCACATTGCAACATATTTTATGACTCTTATTTTTATACAAATGTATGTTTTTAATGTTGAATTTAAATGATTTCAGGTCAGATGTGTTTTAGTTAGCTTAGCACTAGAAAAAGCTGAGTCCGTACTTCTACTTTCACCATAGTCTTTTTAAAACAACTATCCGCTCTTCTACGACAGCATAGATGGTGTGCGGTTTGGCCACAGTTGTTTTATTGTGATTATATGAGCAGAGAAGAAGTCAGTTAAGGTTTACAATAAGGGCTGTGCAGGCGCTCCCCATTCCCATCCCTTATATGTCAATGTTTGTAAAAGCCTGACAATCAGCGGGCTGAGTGGACATGTGAGTGTTACGTTTACTGCATTTGTGAAGCTGCAGGTCTGAAGCCAAACTCTCCGGGGAAAGAGACACATAACAAACATTCAGCCCCCCACCCCACCCCGATACAGAATTATGTTACATCTGGAGCAGCGTCTAACATTTCACCTCGGTCGTTAAAACCGTACGACTTATCTCCACGATAGTTCGGCAGACAGTGAGAGTGCATACCAAAACCCCAGATAGGACTCGAGCCAGTGGGGGGGGAATGAATCTGGAGAGTAGACGTGATTGAGTTACAGTAACTCCATCCACATACCAACACAGACGAGTGTAAAAACAGATGAGCCGATCATACGTGGTGATTTCTCCACTCGAAGAAGAGATCTTTAAAATAAAAAAGGCAATAGAGATAATGCAGGGAAGTAAGAAAAGAGAGTCTCGTCCTTGATGCAATTAGATTCCATTCCCGTTGATTTTAAAACAATGTGACAGCCTTCTTTCACGTTCACTTATCTTGGCTCAAACCACTATCCATTAACTGTAATAAACAAAAACCTCATACTCACAGCAGATATATTTTATGATACTGATGCTCCTTGCAGGTCAGATCGAAGGCCTAAGTCTGCGTCCCTGTTTGACTGTGAGTTCACTGGGCCCTCTGCTTTGTGTGTCAGGTTGTGGCAGCTGTCGGTCAAAGGTGGCTCAGCCCTTGTGTCCTGTCATCAGCATGTGAAGTGGTGCTGTCTGCTGGTCAGCTGAGTGCCAGTAGTTTAAAAGCTCCCCCTCCTTACTGCAGCACCGCCAGAGTCAGACGCCCCCCCCCATGTTCTGCTCACCTGGATTCTTCTGACCTCAGACTAACCTCTGACCTGTCCTGTCCTGAACCATACCGTGCTGTACTGTATCATATAATATCATATATCTCTGAACTTCACTATATCATACCATTCCATACTTCATTGTATTGTATAGTATTGTATAGTATTGTACCGCATCATACCGCATTGTATCGTATCATACAGCATTGTATCGTATCATACAGCATTGTATCGTATCATACCGCATTGTATCGTATCATACCGCATTGTATCGTATCATACAGCATTGTATCGTATCATACCGCATTGTATCGTATCATACAGCATTGTATCGTATCATACCGCATTGTATCGTATCATACCGCATTGTATCGTATCATACAGCATTGTATCGTATCATACCGCATTGTATCGTATCATACCGCATTGTATCGTATCATACAGCATTGTATCGTATCATACCGCATTGTATCGTATCATAGCGCATTTTATCGTATCATACAGCATTGTATCGTATCATACAGCATTGTATCGTATCATACCGCATCGCATCATACCACATCGTGTCATACCTTAATCGCCCCTTCACACAATCTACAAGACAAGACAATCTATAGACAAGCACAGCCAATAATGTTCAATGAAACTCACATTTATCACCAAAATGTTCAGCTTTGACCCTCTGGTGGGAGATACATGTTACATCAGAGTCGGCCTATGTGCATTCAGATTTAGAATAACAGATAATGTAGGATGTGAAAAATGTCTGTTCAATATGATATATATATATATATATATATATATATATATATATATATATATATATAGTGGTTTTATATATATATATATATAACCACAAATTGTTACATGATAGAACATTATGTGATTTTCTTAGAAGTATTTATGATTATTAACCTCGGTGGACCTGCAGTACACAGTCCTGATGGACATAGAAGTAATAATATTGTTTGTAATCTTTATTCAGGGTTTGAATCTATTAGTAAAGAGTAAAAGTAAACAGACATTTTGGATGGAGATGGGGACATTTGGAGCACACAGAATGTTGAGCTCATAAGGGAGACAACAAGGCTTAGAGAGATGAGAGGTTAACTCAGTGGGTTTTGTTTGTGTTGATAAGATACTCACAACCCTTGTCTTGTCATCACTATTTAATCAGACGAGATACAAAGTGATGACAGCAGAGGGGTTCACTGAGCTCTGTCCCTTTAAATATGTTCAATACACAACTGATTTCCTGTAATGAGTGTATATAGGGTCATGTCAAAGGGTCAGGTTAAAATGAAAGCTCAAATTAACAATATGATAATGATATGATAACAGAGAAAAGTAAAGGGATTCACTCTTAAGCTACAGGCCAAATTTCCAATCTCCTTTGATAAATGTAAACCTTCGCAAACCTTTTTTTGACAGGATGGATTAAATGAACAACATTATGATGAGAAGTAGCCAGTGGAAAATGTAGTATAACTCTGAATAGTCTAAAAGGTCAAACCTCAGAAATATCCTGATACATTTACCAAACTGTACAAATTGAATTGGTCCAATATTATTGCTTGGACGCGAGTCTGATGTGCTTTTTATTGCTTGTTTGTGAGTTGGACCTGGATCAAATCCAAAATGTATCTGGTTCTTCCTTGGTCCAAGCTACACCAATCCACCAAGTTTCATGAAACGTGGGCAATTATTTCTGTAAATCTGCAGACGGTCAAACGAAAAAAGCTTCTAAGAGTTGGCCGATGTGCCCAAGGATGCTTAAGTGCTTCATTACTTTAAAAGACAAATTAAATCTATGCTATTGAAGGAGTTAGGTAAGTGTAATTCTAATCCTGGTCCAGGTTCAAATAAAGGTCGGATTAACAACATACTGACAAAATGTTGCAGAGCTGCAAGTTCAGCCACTTTATGTGTCTGTCCTTATTTAAGAAACGAGATAAATTTGATCAATATTATTGCTCGTAAATGAGTCAGATCTGCTTTCATTTCCAGTTGTTGGGTTTTTATCTGGATCTGCTCCATAATTAAATGGGTTCTTCCTTGGCCAATCCTAC